GCAGATGTCGTTTCCGAAACATGTTGGATCATAAATTTAATGTTGGACCTTTATGTCCCCCGAACTACACCCACGCTAGTCCACTCTAACAATGTTAGTGTCGTTTACTTATCCTGCAACCTGGTTAAACATCAATGTACCAAGCACATCGAGCTCGACATTCATTTCGTTTGGGAAAAGGTCGCTCGGGGTAAAGTCCGTGTACTCCACATTCCATCTCGGTATCAAATTGCAGATATCTTCACAAAGGGTCTACCTTTCATTCTCTCTGACGACTTTAAAAACAATCTCAATGTTCTTCATCCTTCAGATTCGACTGCAGGGGTATATTAGCCGAAGATATCCTTCCTCATATTGAGGAAGTACTGTTATAGTTGATAGACCTTATCTTTATTGTAGATAGTGATAGGATTTTGTATAAATACAAATTGTAAATCATTGGAATGAGATACAGAAATATACCAATTAAAAAAAAGGACACCTTAGATTAAAATACGAGAGTAACTATACCGATTCCTCTGTTCTTCGCGATCTTCCAATTTCCATTCGTGGAAAAGTAGACTTTCAATCATCTTCTTATTAAGCGATTCTATATTCTGAAATCATTAGAATTATATGTTTAATGATATTATAAATGTGATTCTCTCCAGATATCTCAAACACTCTACAAGTCATACATTGACTGATTTTTACTAGTCTGAGAAATGTGCAACCAAAAACACAAGCATACAATACACATTAACAGTAGGCTTCAAGGATCATAATCAAATTATATATAAACTTGATCATATGGACCAACTAATAATTTTCATTTTAACCTAATCATGAACGCCATGTAAAGTGATAAGATAAAGAGATTGCATATAATGTCATGAGGCTGTTACCAACGAGAAGAGAGAATTGGATTCATAACCATGCACCCTGAAGTGATGTATGCAAGTATGAGTGGGATCTTTGTGGTTTGATGTGAACTCAAATCTGATCATGTTCACAGTTAATCCCTTCTCCTAAACATTGAAAGTTTTACATTTCTTTTTACAACATCATATGAGAAATCACACAACAAAACCATCTTTTTTGAATCGGGATGCAATCATCCAAACACTCTACAGTTCTTTGGAGTCATAGATATGTTGAATGGCACACTCTGTTCATAACACCATAAAATGCACAAATTATTGATGTAACTAGTCAAGGTCATATGGGTAATTCCAACTCACTTAGATTTCAATTCAAACAATTGGACACAAAACATTAAACAAAATTAGCAAACAAGAAACGAACTAACACATTACTTGGAAATCACAACCAAAGAACAAGTTAAGAGAGCAAACCTTTGCAACATGTTCAAGAGTGAAAACCTCTTGGATGATGTCATGCCTCAACATAATCATTGTTAGGGGAAAACATTGACCAGGCTCACCAAAACTAGGTTAGGTTATATGAATCTCATTTTGCAAATTGTAAGCATGAGAGTGTTTCACCACCATTCCTCCACCAGCATCAACCACATAGTCAATACTACCAAGCTCATCAACAAAATGCTTTTCTATTTCCTTCTCAATAATCCCCTTTAGTTCATCTAACCTAAAATATCCTTCATCCATCCCTTTCTTGAACTTCAATTTCTTTATATTTTTGTTGAATTCATCTTTCTATATCCACTCTTCATTAACGTGAACCAACGATTGCCAAATACTATCAACCCTTTCACCAAAATTACACAATCTGGCCCATAGAAGAAATCATTATCGTCTATTCTCTCACTCAATTTGTTTACTAAATCTTTAATCTCTTTCTCGATTTTGTCTTTCCACGGATTCAATATCATCTTGGGAGTCGTTTGAAACAACAACTAAGCCACATCATCAATCCGTCCATTGAGCCCTAAAGGATAAATGTCGTTGTTCCCAAATAGAAACCGCAAAATCGCCTCAAACAAAAAGAGTAGCGGTAAACTGGTGAAAAAAGTGAGAATAGTCTGCTATATGGAAGCTTGAGGTCTTGGAGTTGTAAATCACGTGGATGGAGTTTCCCACAATTAGGTTTAATTGTAGTTAAACCCAATTATGTCTATTCTTTAATGACTTGAAAAGGGTATTCTAGTCCAACCACCTTTTATTTTAATTTTTAAATATATTTTATGGTATTAAATTGATTTATACTGATTAGATTACAAGATTGGATATAACTGTGAGTTTAATAGGTTAACATGATATATATATAATATATATATATATATATATATATATATATATATATATATATATATATATATATATATAGGGGAAGGTTCAAATGAGAACAATTATGAAAGAACGCGAGAACACATCTATGCCACATAGTTCTTTTTGCCGCAAAACCATCCTGCGTACCGGCGCGACTGAAGAATGTAATATTCATATTTGAATATAAAGGTAACTATATTTTCGCATATTTCAAATCTGCCGCTTAAGTGCTCCAATGTACCAGAACGATGGGACAAATAATATTCATATATGAATAAATATATTCATATATGAAGAATAACTTGAGAATAGACACATACATACTCATATTGGAATATACATATGTATTCATATATGAATATACTTATTTATATATGAATATCAGTTAACGTCAGCAACGCCTCAGTCGGTACGTTTGAAGGTTTTGTGGGAAAAAGGAATGTGTCCCAAAGGTGGTTGTGGTGTAGCTGGTTTATATTCACGTATGAATATTACATTCTTTTGTCACACAGGTATGCGGGAAAAAAAAATAAATAAAATATGTGGCCCAGCTTTTTCTCGCGTTCTCAATTTTATAATTTTTCTCATTTGGAACATAACTATAACTCTCTCTCTCTCTCTCTCTCTATATATATATATATATATATATATAATTATGATATAGACATAATATTTAATGTTTGTGAGCACATGTATCCATATACTAAAAGAGTTAGACTCCTAAAATAACTCAAAAACATTTAAAAACAAAGTATTCCAAAAATACCCCAGAGACTCTTTTTGTCCCAAAATCCTAATTAAGCCAACAAGTTGTATACGGTGGTGTTTTTGAACTGAGAGCTGCCATATGAGGTAAGAATTGGTGACAAATAGGTATATTGGCCTCCATTATCTGTGTAAACACTAAACGGATATGATAGGATGTTGGAGACACTTTTCGACTAGTAGCTTGAATTTGGGAAACAAGATAACAACCTCTGATTATTTTATTAGGATAGAGCCATGTATATTTACTGAAATGATCAACAAACATTAAATAATAACAAAAGCCATGAATAGTCAAATCATTTGGTCCCCAACATTAGAATAAAATGGTTCCAAAGGTTTAGAACTTTGAAGAGAATCTGCAGCAAAGGGAAGTTTATGACTTTATTAGAATTTCAAGATATACAGTAGAACTTTGAAGCTCAAAGTAGAGAAATATTTAAGTTGCTGGATCTAGAAATTGAATGTAGAATGGAAATAGTCGGATGACCGAATGGAAGTGACGCAAGTTGGAGCAACTAGAATACTGATTTTTCCTGTTGTGAGATCAATGATGGTAATAGGATTCGATGGGTTCATGTTGTCTCAACTCTTAAGTCGTCGGTCAAAGTGGATTCGATGGGCGCCATGGATCAGAAAGCGCTTAAGCGGATCGAGGTGGGCTCTGCATATAGAGATATTGAGTAGCAGGGGATTAGATTAATTACACATACACATGAGATAAAATAGGGAAAATACAATATATAACTATCATCTAATCACTTCCTTGATACTAGGAAGAGTTACGTGATATATCATTAACGCAATTCCAGAGTTTTTAATAGGTGTTACAATCATCAAGATAAACTGTTTGATGAGATTCAATTTCTATCCTTCAACTGGGTAAACAATAGAGGCAGTAGATTCAAACTTGCAATGAAAAATCATCTTGGTGTTTTGGTCGCAGCCTTTGCAGATTGAATCGGTAACTGTTTTCCATGACGTGGTGTTGAATTGGGAGCATTGATCAATTTGATAAGGGATGTTTGCTTTTGGAAAGAAAGTTTTATTAGAATTACTTGGAAAGCAAACATAAATATAATCTTAGTTATATGGGACTTTCTATTCCAGCAAAAAAATCTGTCGTGAATTATGTGTCTAATATGTGATGATAAGGACCCTAAGAGAAAGAATTGATCATGAAATGTGATGTGCAGATGAATTCTAAAGATTTGAGTAAACGAATCAGTTGTAGAAATATATAATAAACAAACAAGAACATACTTGTATTTCACTTTTTATTTATTTAACTATCTTCATTTTTATGTCTGTACAAGTATGAACCCTTTTAGGCGTTTCAGGATATAAAAGAAATTAACAGATGAAATAAATGCAGGGAACAATAAGAACCACCAGTTTTTATTTAATTATCTTCATATTTATTTTCTTTTCCGGTTTTCCCTCATTCACACGTCCAAATAACACACCATGCCCATTTGCATTTTAGATTTTTTTAAGGGACCCTTAAGTCCCTATCTCTATTGACCCATTCACATGATTTTCACGTGATAATTATTAATATAATAATCATCAGTTACAGAACTGGTTATGATGTCAAGCGCAGTTTGAATGAAACTTCTACTAGAATTTATTAGAAAACAAAAATAAATACATCCAAATAATCAAGTTAAGTTATATTATTACATTGTTAAATCCAAGAATAACATATACTACTGCATGTTGTCTTTTTGTAATCCTAGCGCCTTGCTAAATTTTGGGTTACAACGTATTTTATTGTTCTAAAAAAAGATCAATGTCATGACAGATAGATACAATTCAAAGTGTAATACACACCTTTGTGGAAAATTTTGACATGTTAAAAGGCCTGCTTGTGGAAAAATATGACATTGTACATATTTCCTTTTCAAGCACATTAAAAAGAAAACAAGAGAAAAAGATAGCTCAAGTATAAATTAGGACATGCAAACCATTCCTTTTTTTATCGAAAGCAACATGACAAAGCAAATAATGTCTTCTTCGAACTTGTTATTTTTCTCTCTGGCTCTACTAATCATCACACTCTCCTCAATACAAAATTTTGCTTCTGCTTCTTTGGAGGAAGCCAATGCTCTTCTTAAATGGAAAGCAAGCCTTGAAATCCCAAAAAACTCCTTGCTTTCTTCATGGATTCCCCTCCCTTTGAATTCCAGTACATCAGTTCCATGCACTTCTTGGCTTGGAATCGTTTGCAATGCTGATGGGAGCATTCAGAAGTTGAGCCTCACATCATCTGGAATAAAGGGTACGCTTCATAGATTTTCATTTTCTTTGCTACACAATCTTACACATTTTAATCTTAGTATAAATAACTTCTTTGGCCCCATCCCACCAGAAATCAGACTGCTGTCCAAACTTATCCATCTTGATTTTTCAGAAAATAAGTTTTCTGGAGTAATCCCACCTGAAATAGGAAACCTAGACCAGCTAACCATCTTGTACATGTACTCAAACAATATATCTGGTCCTATTCCTTCATCAATGGGTAATTTAACCTCTTTGAATGCCATTAATTTGTACAAAAATCAACTCTCGGGTCTCATTCCTATTGAACTTGGGAATTTGAAGTCTCTCACTCATCTTGCGCTGAGCAAAAATCAACTTAGAGGTTGTATTCCTTCATCACTAGGTTATTTGACATCTTTGAATGGCCTTTATTTGTGGACAAATCAACTCTCTGGTCCCATTCCTATTGAACTTGGGAATTTCAAATCTCTAACTGATCTTGACTTAAGTGACAATCAACTTAATGACTCTATTCCTTCATCATTGGGTGATTTGACATCTTTGAATCTACTTTATTTGCACCAAAATCAACTCTCTGGTCCCATTCCTATTGAACTTGGGAAGTTGAAATCCCTCACTGATCTTGAAGTGAGCAACAATCAACTTAGTGGTTCTATTCCTTCATCATTGGGTAACTTGACATCTTTGAATATCCTTTATTTGGATAAAAATCAACTCTCTGGTCCCATTCCTATTGGAATTGGGAATTTGAAGTCCCTCACCAATCTTGATGTGAGCTACAATCAACTTAGTGGTTCTATTCCTTCATCATTAGGTGATTTGACATCTTTAAGTGTTCTTTATTTGTACCAAAATCAACTCTCTGGTCTCATTCCTATTGAACTTGGGAACTTGAAGTCTCTCATTAATCTTAAGGTTAGCAAAAATCAACTTAGTGGTTCTATTCCTTCATCATTAGGTGATTTGACATCTTTGAATCTACTTTATTTGCACCAAAATCAACTCTCTGGTCCCATTCCTATTGAACTTGGGAATTTGAAGTCTCTCACTATTCTTGAGGCTAGCGAGAATCAACTTAGTGGTTCGATTCCTTCATCATTAGGTGATTTGACATCTTTGACTATCCTTTATTTGGATGAAAATCAAATCTATGGTACCATTCCTATTGAACTTGGGAATTTGAAGTCTCTCATTTATCTTGATGTAGGTTACAACCAACTTAGTGGTTGTATTCCTTCATCATTGGGTGATTTGACATCTTTGAATGGCCTTTATTTCGCCCAAAATCAACTTTCTGGTCCCATTCCTGTTGAAATTGGGAATTTGAAGTCTCTCACTCATCTTGATGCAACCTCCAATCAACTAAGTGGTTCCATTCCTTCATCACTAGCAAACTTGAGCAACGTACAGTGGCTGAGCCTCGGTGATAATAAATTATCAGGTCTTATTCCTAATGAACTTGGGAAGTTGAAGTCTCTCACTCTTCTTTCGTTGAGCACAAATCAGCTTAGTGGTTTTATTCCTTTATCATTTGCTGATCTGATATCTTTAAATCTCCTTTATATGCATCATAATCGGCTTGCTGGTCCCATTCCTAGTGAACTTGGAAAGTTGAAGTCTCTCACTGATTTTAAGGTGAACAACAATCAACTTAGTGGTTCTATTCCTCCAGAGTTTGGAAATTTAACTCAACTTGAAAGACTTAATCTGTCTTCGAATCATTTTGTTAGTGAGATCCCAAAGGAGTTTGGGAAGATGAAAAGTATGTTGTATTTGTACTTGGCTGGCAACCAACTTTCAGGTGTTATACCTCTAGAGCTTGGATTTTGTGAACTCCTTGAAGTACTCGATCTATCCAAAAATAAATTGAATGGGTCAATTCCAAGAAGTATTGATCAATGGTCACAAATCCACTACTTGAATCTTAGTAATAACAACCTTAGTGAGAAAATTCCATCCGAGATTGGTAAATTAGTTCATCTTACGGAACTTGATTTATCTAAAAATTTTCTCACTAAAGAGATACCATCTGAAGTTCAAAGTTTGCAGAGTTTGCAAAAATTAGATCTTTCTCACAATAGACTATCTGGTTCTATTCCCAATGCTTTTATAAATTTGCCTCGCGAGATTGACATCAACCTTTCTTACAATCAGCTCTCAGGTCCAATCCCCGCCAGAGTTAACTTTGTGAATGCGTCCATAGAAGGCAATCCAAATTTGTGTGGGAATGTTACGGGAGTGAAACTTTGTCCAAGTCAGATTATGAAGAAGAAAAATGATCATAAGCTTATCCTTGTAATTGTGCTCCCTCTTATCGGGATTGTTTTACTTGGTGTATTCACGTATCGCCTCATTGCTAATCTACAAAAAAAGAAAAAGTCTCCACAAAAACCATCGGATGAAGAAATCGGTGATTATTTCTCTATTACAAGCTTTGATGGAAAAGTGGTGTATGCTGATATCTTGAAGGCAACAAATGATTTCCATGAAACATACTGCATTGGGACCGGAGGATATGGGACTGTGTACAAAGCCGAACTACAAACTAACAATGTGGTAGCTGTGAAGAAACTTCGCCCATCGTCCCAGAATGTTGATCATAATGGATTTCTTAATGAGGTACGAGCATTAACGAACATAAGGCATAGAAACATAGTGAAACTCTATGGATATTGCTCTCATTCTCGCCACTCATTTTTGATTTATGAATACCTTGAAAATGGAAGCCTTGGATTAATCTTAAGAAGCGATGTCTTAGCAAAAGAACTAGATTGGTTAAAAAGGGTAAATATAGTAAAGGGTGTAGCTAATGGTTTGGCTTATATGCATCATGACTGCTCACCTCCTATAATTCATAGAGACATTTCCATTGCCAACATCCTTCTTGATTCTGATTGTGAGGCACATATTTCTGATTTTGGCACATCCAAGCTTTTAAAACTTGATTCATCCAACTGGACTGCAATTGCAGGCACCTATGGATACATCGCGCCAGGTAACACTATCTTGTGATTGGAATTCTGCATCTTCTTAACTTTTATGATATATATAAATATGTATATATACATATATGTATATATGTTAGAATCTTGTGGGGTTGATATATATATATATATATATATATATATATATATATATATATATATATATCTTATGTATCTTTGGATGTAGAGCTTGCTTATACGATGGTGGCAAATGAGAAATGCGATGTGTATAGCTTTGGAGTTGTTGCAGTAGAAGTGATAATGGGAAAGCATCCGGGAGATCTCATAACATCTTTACCAACATTGTCTGCTGCTGATTATCTGGTGCCGTCAAACGTGGGAGATAGTCGGATACCTCCTCCCTCATCCGAAGTAGAGAAACAAGTTAAGTTGGTTTTGAATCTCTCAAGAGCATGTTTGAACTCCAATCCACATGAAAGACCAACAATGCAACAAGTTTCAAATCGGTTAATGAAGGATCTGCTTTGAATTGACATCTCTTGCCTGATCAATATATTGTACTTTCAATGTTCTTTTTACTTTTCTTAAGTTCCCTATATGCATCTTGTCAACATGTATTCATTTGAATAGCTTTTTGTTAAGAAACTTCACATATGTTTGTCAATGGCAGATCTAGTATGTATCCCGGGATACCCCTAAAAAAATTAGTAGTGTAATTTTTTCAGGAAATTTTTTATTGTTGTGTATTATGCGATTTTTTTTTTATTGGGGATACCCCTTTACTTTGATATTGGATCCGCCACTAATGTTTGTTGTAGTATACAAATAAGTCAATGACGATTGCTATACTTCTAAAACTCACAGCTGAAAATCAAGGAAAACACCATCCATACATCCCTCAAACAGGACATACTTTTTATATTTGTTTCATTTTATATTCATTTGTTATTTGCATGTTTTAAAATGAATAACTCAACTTCATATATATATATATATATATATATATATATATATATATATATATATATATATATATATATATATATATATATATATATATATATATTTAAAATACATCTGTGAATATTATCTAGTTAATATGATTTATGGGGTATAATTTGTGATGCAGTATGTCAAGCATAAGTCTCAGATGTAATCTTATTTTCCTACAGAAATTGCATGTGCTCCTACAAATTATTGCAAAGAACAGATTCAAACTCATTAATGCATGCTAGTATAAAAAGCTTCTCCATCTGTATCTCCCTTCCATGTCTATTAGGAGCACCAAAATGAAATGACACTGGTAGTTTCTTTCATGGATACTCAATAGATCATGGAAGAAATTACAATCTGCAAACCTGAAACAAATAAAACAAGGGCTCTCTACATATATATTGATGGGAATCAAATTTTTCCAAAAAACATGATATTTAATGTTAAGCAAGTTTTCCCAAAGACACCATAAAAACATTATCTAGCTACAAAAATAATTAAATGTGGTTCGCATTTTAAAGTGTATTGTTAGCTAATATATCAATAGCATTGCCTGAAAACCATTCTTCTCTCATTATGTATTGGGTGTGTACATTTAGTTTCTGTAAATATATTTTTTTCAAGTACTCTATAATATCACCACACTACACTATGAACAAACCAATACCATACTGCTGATGTGGCATTAAATTAAAAAAAAAAATCATTCAGGCATTTCATCAAACAGTTAATATTCATTAAACTCGCATTTTTGCAACAAGTATGTATAAATGATCCTAAATGGCGCGTTGGAAGAAGATAGCTAGAAAAATGAGGAAAACCACCAATACATACACATTAATTGATATCCAATTCAACCACTTTACGACTACTACAGAAATGAAATGGATTCATACTTTTGAATAATCACCAATCTGTTTCAAGTTGATAAATTACCTGCGATTTGGAAGGACTCAAATGATTTGGAAGCGGCTTTTGATAGGATTCAAAATGAATTTGCATGATCGATAAAGGATTCAGATGATTCGGTTGCGGTTTCTGCACTTGGGAATCTGGAACTGGTTTTGTCAATGGTGTAAGCTAGCTCATGTTCAATGTCTTCAATGTCGAGGATGCTCTCCAAACAGGGGTCTTGAAGTAGAATTGTTGGGAGCCTTGTGCTATAGAGTTATAAGATCTCTTTGAATAACATGCAATTCCAAAGATTTTAATCGGTGTTATGAATCATCAAGATAAAGTTTTTGGTGACATTCAATTTCTATCCACCAACTAGGTAAATAACAGAGGCACTAGATTCAAACTTGCAATGGAAAATTGGTGCATTGATCCTGTTTCTTCCTTACTGCATCCTCAGAGGGTAGGGGTGGGGGGTTGTGCTTAAAATTCGTCTTGGTGTCTTGGTGTTGGCGTTTTCACAGCATTTGCAGATTGAATCGGTAACTGTTTTCCATGGAGTTCAATTGGTGATGTTGATGAGTAAAGTGTTGATGTTTATTCCCACCAAAGTTTCATAGCTTCCTCCCTTTCGATACAACTTTTGACTACTTTTGATTTGGTGAAATTCAACATTTCTGGTGCTGCTACAAAATGTAATAAAAAAAAAATCCTATTCTTCCATAACATTTAAACATATAAATTGGTCTCAATTATACTAAGATCATACAAGGGAACAAAAGATGAAAACTCTAACATGCATAAAAACTTTTGAATGCAGCTGGTGTAAGGCATGGCATGGGAGAAGTATACTCTTCTTTTTTCACACCAATGGAATTTGGTTTCTTCAGGGGTTTGCCTAAAAACCTCTATTTCTTGAACATAGCTGGTCAAATCGCTTTCCTCATAGACGTTGTCCTACATTTCTTTTATAGCCTACAGAGACACCCAAACTTACAAAATGATTTATAATCGCAACTTAACCAGTGTTAGGTTCATAATTTCTTTTCTATACATCCAAATTCAATAAAACATTCTATAAAATTGTTTAAATTAAAATCCACCTATTTGTGATTTCAGGTACCTCAAATCTCATTTTTTCTTCGATATACTTGCATGTATTCCTTGGGATAACATATACAGGGTATGCATTAGTACATGATGCAATAATAAAATTATTATGTACAATACGATAAATGATTATTTAATTATATTAGTCTTCCAAAGGAAAAGAAGAAGTGAGGTACCTTTTCCTAATTAGATTGGTTCGAGTATGCAAAGTCTTGGAATTCTTTTCAAGATTAGAAAAGGACATTCGTGTCAATTATCTTTTTTCAAGGAATATAAAATTAATCACTGTTGAACTCTATTGCACGCATACGGCTGCTTGCGTATTCTATTATTTGGCTACGACTCTGCCAGCTGTCGAAGAAGGATACACCTGGATTGGGAGATTAAAATCAGGCGATTATAGCTACTCAAATTTAAGAGAGATTGATCTTTGGAAACACTACACAACTTCCTTATATATTGCCATTGTTACTATGGCCACAGTTGGTAAGTACTTCATCAACATAAATAGCAATGTACTTTCATTCGTTTATTTATTATATACAAAAATCAAAAGTACAATGCCATAATGTGTGGATTTGTTTGTTTGTACTTTGTACAAGTTATGGTGAAATCCATGCAATGAATATGAGAGAAATGATATTTGTAATGATTTATGTGTCATTTGATATGGTTTTGAGAGCATACTTGATTGGTAATATGAGTATATGACAGCTTTAATAGTGAAAGGATCAAAGACAAAAAGATATAGAGATAGAATGACAGATCTTCTTAAATATATGAATAGAAATAGACTTGGGAGAGATATAAGAAATCAGATAAAAGGTCACCTTCGTTTATAATATGAAAGCAACTACACTGATTCCACTATTCTTTGTGATCTTCCAATTTCCATTCATGCAAAGGTAGACTTTCAATCTTTTTCTTATTAAGACATTATGTGCTCTGAAATCATCAGAATTATATGCTTAATGATGTTGTAAATTTGATTCTTTCCAGATATCTCAAATGCTATACATATCATACATTGAAAAAGTTTCACTTTTCAAAGGATGCTCTTTCGAATTCATAAATTAAGTTGTAACTAAAGTGCATGAAGAATTTTTTCTCCCATGGGAAGTCATTATGGAACAAGGCAATGTGGTTGAGCAACTTTATTTCATTTGTCACAGTGAACTGGTATAATTTCCTTCCCCTTTTAATTAAAATTAGTAAAACTTTTGGTTTTTTAATTAAGAATGATGAAATGAAATTATATGTGTAACAAGGATTATGGCACGTAAGTGATTTTTCTGTATATTGCATTGAATAAAATAACCTCTATATATGGAGAGATACAATCAATACATCCTTCTAATGAGGAGATAAAATAGGGAAGGATAAATATAAATCATAACTAAAATACACTACCTAAAATACAAAAGATTCAGCTAATACTCCCCCGCAGTTTGAGCAGGGAAAGCACAAACGCCCAAACTGGATCGGAACTGTTGATATAAGTAACGAGGTAAACCTTTGGTAAAGATGTCTGCATATTGCATGGAGGAGGGAATGTGTAAAACTCGAACCTAGCCAAGTCGAACCTTTTCGTGAACGAAGTGGATGTCAATTTCTACATGTTTAGAGTGCTTTTGGCTGACCTTTTCGCGAACGAAGTGGATGTCAATTTCTACATGTTTAGTGCGCTGGTGCTGAATCGGATTTTGTGACAGATAAACATCAGACACATTATCACAATATACCACACATTATCACAATATACCACTGTTGCCTTTGAAGTGGAACATGGAGCTCAAGTAAGAGGTTTCGAAGCCTGGTGGTCTCTGAGACAGCGTTAGCAACACCATGATATTCTGCCTTGGCGCTGAAACAGGAAATGGTAGGTTGACGCTTAGATGACCAAGATACAAGATTATTTCCCAAAAATACATAGTTTCCAGAGGTAGATCGTCAAGGATTAGGGCATCCATCCTAATCAGCATTAGAGTACGCAGTCAACGTGTGTGACGAAGATGCAACAAGCTGTAATCTGTAGTCAATGGCTCCTTGAAGATAACTGGAGCATGCATGAAAGGCAAACCTGTTGGATAGCATATGTAATGTCTGGACGGGTAAATGTCAAATATTGTAGAGCTCCCGCAAGCCCATCCTGAAATAGCTCGCCATCGGTGGCACTAAGTTTGGTGGACGTATCCACTGGCGTAGAACAAGGTTTGCACGAGGACATAGAAGCCCTCTGAAGGATACCACGAGTATAGGAAGCATGTGTAAAAATAAGCCCTGTTTATCTCATGATACCTAGAAAGTGATGAAGTGCACCCAAGTCTGTCATGGCAAATTCCTAAGACAATGAAGTAATAATGTTGTGTAGAAACATAGGGTCAGAAGTAGTTAAGGTAATATCATCAACATATAATAACATATATGCATGATGTCGGCCGTGCTAGAATGTAAATAGTGAGGAATCACATAAAGTGCTCCTGAAGCCACGAGAAGTGATGAATGTTGCAAATCTAGTATACCATCGAGGAGCCTATTTAAGCCCATATAAATATTTTTAGAGGCGACAAACATGAGATGGAAAACAAGCATCCACAAATCCTGGAGATTGGTGCATAAAAAATGTCTCATGATGATCCCCATGGAGAAAGGCGTTCTTGACATCCAATTGATGGATTGGCCATGCCTGGGACACGACAAGGCTAAGTACGGTCCGGATGGTAGCCGGTTTGACAACCGGACTGAATGTTTCGTGACAATCAATACCCACAGTTTGATATTTCCCATTCATAACAAGTCGAGCTTTATACCTTTCTAGAGAAACATCTGCTTTAAACTTGTGGCGAAAAAGCCACATACATCTAATAACTGGGCTATCCGTCGGTCGAGGAGCAAGTTCCTATGTGTTATTCACCTATAACGCTTTAAATTCATCTTCCATTGCTAGTAGCCAATTTAGGTCGGAACGAGCCATAGAGATAGAGGTAGGGATATGAGAGATGGAAGAGGTCATAGTGGTATGAAGGTTGAGGCGGGTGACAGGTTTAGTAACACCTGCCCAGGTGCGGGTGGTCATCGGATGAGCAGAAGTAGGTGGGTTAGGTGGGGTAAGCGATGTGGGGATCTCAGTGATATGTGGCGGGTTGGATGTGGAGGGAGCTTTAGATGATATGTTATCATTAGTGGGAAGGGAGGTAGTGGTATGGGGGTCTTTTGGCGACGAGTATATGTTAAGATGGGAGGAGGGGGTGGTACATTAGGATATGAGTGTTGGTTAGGAGTTTGTGGTGGAGTTCCTTGAGTTTTTGATGGGAAGTAGGAGAATGAGGGAATCCGAAGATCGTCTAAAAAGTCATAGGAGGACGAGGAAGGACTATGGGAAAATGGAATGGATGTGTCGTCAAACGTGATGTGGCGAGAGAGATGAACTTTTTTCGTTGCAGGATCAACGCAATGGTAGCCCCGAAAGTTTTCAGGGTAACCAAGGAAAACACATTTGATGGAGCAACTTTGAAGCTTGTGAGATTGAGTAGCAGAAGTGTTGGGATAGCACATGCACACGAAGGTGCGAAGGTGATCATAGGTGGGATGGCGGCCATAAAGAGAAAATGTTGATGTGGCGAAGTTGAGTCGCTTTGTAGGAAAGATGTTATGAAGATACACAACCGTGTGAAGGGCTTCTACCCAAAATGAGTGGGGGTAGTGAGGCATGGATAAGAAGGGTACGGATGATGTCGTCGAGACAATGAATCATACGTTCGTCACATCCATTTTATTGAGATGTTTGTTGGAAAGAAAAGCGAAAAGTAAGATCATGAGTATTGGAAAAAGATTTAAATTTGTTATTGCGAAACTCGCCACCAAGATCACACTAGAAAGTATTAATGCTGCGATTAAATTGGGTTTGAATTAGTTTGTGAAACTTTTAAAAATTGAGAAAGGTTTCATATTTGAATTTGAGAGGGTAGACCCATACGTAATGTGTGTAGTTGTCAATAAGAACCATATAATATTTATAACTTGTTTTGCTCAAAATCTGAGAAGTCCAAAGATCAGAATGGATAATATCAAATGATGCAATAGATAATGAATGTGAATCATAATATGGTAAACAAGTATGTTTAGACAATTGGCAAGTGTTGCATAAAGAAGAATCCATAGGTTTATTACAAATAATCGAAAAATTAGAAAAAGTAAATCTAAGATAGGAGCCCCCAGATGATCTAAGAGAGCATGCCATTGATTATGCGTTGTGGTAAGGAAAGCAGACGAACTAGCTGGTGGTGTGAAGGGGTAGAGATCACCTGTGCTATCATGACAAGAAAGAAGAGCTCGAGTCTTGAGGTCCTTAACAGAAAAACCATATGAGTCAAATCAATAGAAGTTTGATTATCCGTGGTGACTTTTCGAACAGAAAGTAAGTTTTTAATAATGGATGGGGTGAAAAGGATGTTTTTAATGCGTGGTGGTGTTGTGTGTGGCATGGCCCGACCCGTGAATAGGAATACTAGACCCATGGCTTGATACCATAACAAAGATTATGGCGTAAGTGATATTTCTATATATTGCATTGAATAAAATACCCTCTTATATAAGGAGAGATACAATCGAAACATCCTTCTAATGAGGAGATACAAATGGGGAAGGATACATATAAATCATAACTAAAATACACTTCCTAAATTACAAAAGATTCGGCTAATAATGTGTAGGATGAAATTGGTATATGTGAAGATGGATTTGAAGAGAATATCGATTTCAAAACCTCAAAGTTCATTTGGAGAAGTTTCTATTCTTTGTAACATTCCTCAACCTTACACAGTTCGAGTTTGTGAGCTTTGTAGACTTCTTCGCCTTGACAAACAATCTTTCTCTAACATCCTTGAGATTTATTTTCATTATGGGAGAAAAATTCTCAACAATCTTGTAGAGGTAATTCATTCATTCCAAGAATAATGTATTTGTTTTACTTTATATATATGAATTTAATTTGGCTTTTTTAAATTAATAATGTAGAGGTAATTAAACTTCCTTCCATTTTTAATCTTTATATATGTTCACTTTTATGCATCAGTTTTACTCGTGTTAATGGTTTAATTAATCTTGGTGATATATACATAATTTTGCGAACACACCTTTATTAGAAGCCATTAAGAATGGACATGATAAAGTGGCTTCCATATTAGTGAAAGAAGGTGGATCATTGAAGATAGATGATGCTGGTTGGTTTTTGTGTACAAGTGTAGCAAGAGGAGATATTGATTATATACGAAGGATTTTGTCAAATGGGGTTGACCCAAATTCAAAAGATTATGACTTTAGAACTCCACTTCATATGGCTGCATCACAAGGATCTTATATAATTGTCAATTTGTTGGTGGAAGCTGGAGCTAGTGTTCTATCAAAGGACAGGTGTGTGTGTGTGTATATATATATATATATATACACACACACACACACACACCAATATTAACTAATTCCTCAAATATTAATTAACTAATTAAATTATATATATATATATATATATATATATATATATATATATATATATATATATATATATATATATATATATATATATGCTAGTATTAGTTTAGTTAATTTGAATGTATATATGTAGATGGGGTAATACTCCACTTGATGAAGGGAGGATGTCTGGAAACAAGATGCAAGTTATAAAAACAGCAGCCGAACAACTGAAGTTGGAAAGATATGACACTTGTTGTATAGTAATAGAAGATGCAGGTAAAATTCTTGATGTTGATATGATTTTAGATGGACAAAAGTTGTATTTGATAAGTGAAGAATGAGTGTGTGGTTTGTGTATCATTGTGATTATGTAACACAAACATTGCAATATAAATAAATTTCATCTTAAGTTTCAACCTTTAAATACTCAAGATCTCCTGTAAATAAACAATTTTCGAAATATTAGCAATTTACCTACAATGCTAACCTGGTAACGAAAACTAAAACAACCAAATCTAAGTGGGCATGAGCCCATCTACATTGGTTAATTTTGTTTATTTGATATTATTTTGGGCTTCGGCCCAAATTATTTGGCAATATCTGGTTATTTAAATTAATGGACCCAGCTGAGTGACGACCTTCTACCAGCTCCTTACATGTTTCACACACTTATATATGAGAAAACTCATTAAGGAAGGTTTTTTTTGCCACTTGTCATCTTTTCATTCATTTGAACACATGTTATTTTCTAGATTTTTTTAATTTTCTATTTTTCCACTTGTTATTTTATTGTAATTTTCATTTTATTAAATTAAAATTCCACATTTAATGTGTAAAGTAATATATATGTAAAGTATTTATTAGAAAGAATCTATATATGTAATGTATTCAATACATTAAAGTCTCATTAATTTTAATAATTCAAATTTTTCTCATTTTTCTTATAAATTCAAAATTTCAAATTATTAAAATTATATATATATATATATATATATATATATATATATATATATATATATTAATTAAACCCATGTAATACATGGGTCTCACACCTAGTTAAAAAATAATAACTACTCTTACTTTCAAGTAGCTTCTTTCTTTATATATATATATATATATATATATATATATATATATATATATATATATATATATATATATATATATATATATATACTAGGAACCTGATGAGGGCCGTGATAATCACGGTCCTATAGAGTCGATTCCGAAGCGAAGTTTTAACACAGTTAAGCAAAATGGTAAACCAAAATAGTACAATGTAAAAAAGATAATATCTACATAAGTGTGTAGTCATTATAAGAAGTTTAAGTTGAATGTTTATTCGTAGTTTAAAAGTACAATTTTGTAAGGAAAGAAAAAGATATAATTTAAGTACATTGCCATTTGTCCCATATAGAAATACAAAATCACAAAGCATACCCTTGCTAGAAATATTGGCAATATAGCATTGTACTTTAAAAGTATAGTCTTTTAAAGAGAAAAAAGATATAATTGAAGTACATTGGAAATACAAAATCACGAAGCATGTTGTGGTACGCACCTGCAATTGGAGTTACACGACTTTGTGTGGTGTTGGTAATGACAATGGAATTAGCATTGGCATGAACTCTAATTTGAACAATTTTTGGCGTGTAGCAACTCCAATACTTTTTAACATGCTCATAGGGGATATGGATATGAATTATATTAACCATTTTAATAATATAATAATCCTACTGTATCTTTTTCAAATGGACTACCAAAATGATATCTTTGTCAAATGGACAATCGAAGTGAGTTTTATCCATAAATTTGTTAAATGGGTATTTGATTTTATTCTTTATTTATTAAATTAATTTTCATTCATATAGGTTATTGCTTTTAAGAAGAAGTGAAATGAGAACTTAAAGCAGCTGACAGATATGGTGTACGCGAGATAATAGCACAACATGGAGTGCTTGTATCAATAGTATCAGATCGTGACGTCCGGTTCACTTCTAGGTTTTGGAAGCGGTTTCATGGTGAGCTGGGGACTTGTCTTCATTTTAGCACCGCTTTCCACCCTCAGATGGACGGGCAGAGCGAGAGAACGATTCAGACTCTCGAGGACATGCTTTGGGCATGTGTCTTGGATTTCGGTGGCAGTTGGGATATGTATCTTTCATTAGCGGAATTGTCGTATAACAATAGTTACCACGCTAGTATTGGCCGCCCTCCTTTTGAGATGCTCTACGAGAGGAAGTGTAGGACCCCAGTTTGTTGGGCCGAGGTCGGTCAGCGAGTCATCAGGAGCACCGAGGTGGTGCTCAAGACCACAGAGTTGATTCAGCAGGTTCGTAGCAAACTGCAGACTGCACAGAGTCGTCAGAAGAGTTACGCGGATAGGAGGCGTTCGGATTTGGAGTTTCAGGTGGGCGATATGGTCCTCCTGAAGGTATCACCCTGGACGGGTGTTATCAAGTTCTGGAAGCGGGGCAAGATGGGTCGAAGGTTTATTGGTCCGTTTAGGGTTTTGGCCCGGGTGGGTCGGGTTGCTTACTAATTAGATCTCCCATCAGAGCTTAGCCAGAACCACAACACTTTCCATGTTTCTTAGTTGAGAAAGTGTCTGGTGGATGAGTCAGCAGTTGTACCCTTGGAGGATATTCAGGTTGATAGCAGCCTGAATTATATCAAGAGACTAGTTGCGATCTTAGATCGGAAGACGAAGACCTTGAGGAACAAGGTGGTTTAGTTAGTGAAGTTGCAGTGGCAGCACCGAAAGGGTTCATAGTCGACATGGGAGACCGAGGATGAGATGAGAGAGCATTATCCGGAGTTATATTCAGATTCAGCAGCAGCAGACTTCGAGGACGAAGTCTAAGATAAGTGGGGGAGAGTTGTAACGCCCCATTTATGGTATGTGATTTAAATAAAGTATTTTTCATTTCTTAAGGGGTACTCGACGTGTCTGTAGCCCGAATCGTCGAGTAGAGACGAGATGTTCATGCTATTTAACTTGGCTACTCGATGAGTCCATATGCTGGGACTCGATGAGTCTGCCTGTCTGGATGAAGCCCTAATTTCAAGGGTTTGTACCCTCTTTAAATAACTTTTTCGCCCAAACCCAGCCTCCATCACCCTCAGAGTGTTCCTTATCAAACCCTAGCCTCCTTGAAGTGTGTGTGAGTGATCTTTGCCATGTGAAGGAACTATTGGTGCATTTTGGAGCAAGTAGAAGAGGGAGAAGGTTGAAGAGCTCAAGGAAGAAGAAGTAGATCCAGAATACACTCCTTTGTGGTCATCTTTTCTGGTAATAAAGTTTCCATCTTGTTTATTGAGCTAATAGATCTAGGTTGTCCCCAAATTGTTGGTACTAAGCTCAAAAAACCCCAAATCCTTTGTGATAAAGCCTTATGATCGAGTAAGACTTCAAATCTGGCCTTTCTTGAGCTCCATAAGCTCAAGGAAATCACCTTTTTGACAGCCATGGCTTTGTTTTGGCTTATTAACCCCATAATAGTAAAGTTTGAGTGTTATTGGTTCATTTCTTCTTGGTTACACGTAAAGTTAGCAACTTTACGTGTTCAGATAGTGCCAGGAGCTTAGATCTACGAGTTAGATGATTTGAAGTGGATTAGAATCGACTGTATGGAATCTGCATGCTTAGGACTCGGTGAGTTGTTTTTCAGACTCGACGAGTCGAGTCGCGAGTCCTTGTTTTTCCCCGATTTGAGAGTTTAGGGTGAATCAGTGAGTTAGGAAGGGATTCGGTGAGTTATAGTCAGATGTAGTGATGGAGGGACTCGACAAGTCTACACCCTGACTCGGCGAGTTCGATTAACTGAAAGTTGACTTTGACCAGGAAGTTGACTTTGACCAGGGAGTTGACTTTGACTAGGAGGTAAAATAGTCATTTTACCCTGAAGGCATTTATTAGTACTTGATCTAGTGATTGATTTGTCATGATAGCCGGAGAGCAGTCGGGACAGCAGTCAAAGATCATTCACGTAGGTTTTCAGCAGTTAGTTCTCTTCCAGTAAGAACGGGTCTACGACCATAATGCCGACCCATCTAGATAGTAGTAGTATGTATGCTTGATGTCTTCGTGATTCAAGCATGTGTTGCTATGTGTAGTATGTCGTGCAAGCCAGTACAATATATGATTATGCTATATGTTCTTGATATGTTATATCCAGTTTCCATCTGACTTCGGTCCGAAGCCGGGCGGGGCCTGATGCAGTGGATGGGGCCCAAGTTATTCTGGACTTCGGTCCGAAGCCGGGCGGGGCCTGATGCAGTGGGTGGGGCCCAAGTTATTTCGGACTTCGGTCTGATATTGGGCGGGGCCCGATGCAGTGGGCGGGGCCCAAGTTATTCCAGACTTCCGTCCGATGCCGGGCGGGGCCCGATGCAGTGGGTGAGGCCCAGTAATTGTTGAATGTGTTTATTATGTTATTGTATGGTATGTGGTAGTTTGGGGGAGTTCACTAAGCTTTGTGCTTACAGTTTCAGTTTTGGTTTCAGGTACTTCTGCAAGCAAAGGGAAGAGCTCGGGCTGATGACATCGCACACACCATAACATCAGTTTTATCCTAGGAGTTTTATTCAGATATTTTGTTATGATTGATACAGTTTTTTTCGACACAGTTGCTATGAATTTTGAGCTATTCAGTCAATGGTTTTCTATTATATATGACATTCGATGATGTGAGTTTTAGAAATATTAAAACAAAAATTTTTGGGTCATATTTTGGGTCGTTACAGAGTTCCCCTAAAATACCAATACATAAACAAATAGCACATATATAAAAAAAATATGCAGTAGGTCCACATCTAACAGACTGGATTACCCTCGAGCCCAGATCATAAGTCTGGCTTGTCCTTGGCCCACAGCTTATGTATGGCTTGCTCCCCGAACTAATAAGTCCTCGGACAGAGCACCACTATGCCCTCAGTACGAGTCTGGCATGCCCTTCCCGACCCTAAACTCGTATCTATAATGCTCATGAGACCTCGATATGAGTCTGACATGTCGTCCTCGGACCTTAGCTCATATATAGTTTGCTCCAGGGTTTATTGGCAATAGCATGAAGAAGTACAACCTGAACCCAACCTACACAATATGTCGACTTATAACAAATAATATCATATATAGATAAACTGACAGTATCACAGGTAGTCCTACCGATCTACCAGACTAGCCTATCAAAACTAGCTTGCATATCTATTACATACTCAACATATCAACAATATCAGTTTATCAAACCAATCGGCCGACATTGGTGCCTTCGACCCGAAAGTATAGTGAGGAAACCTCATCTCGCAAACCAAATAGAACTGATGAGGTCCAACTCCGAAT